ATCTGATAACCCGGGTCTCCCCAAACTGGGATGCCTCATGTAAATTTTTTTAGCTTTAGCCAAAAGGAAACCACCATATACAATATTCATATTCAAGTGCTCCTCCTTTTACTCCTTTAACCAGTGCAGAATATTCCCACATCCACACTTAAGTGACATTTACAAATGAGGGTAAAATCAGCAAGGCACTAGATCTCAAATTGAAAAAAGCAGTGAGCTGAAGATAATGCCATGGGCTCCGTAATATCAAACCAAATGATACGAAATGTCAAGCGACGTGAAATTGTTGCAGAATTCAAATGTTATGCCTTGGCTCTTATCGCAGCCTCTCCACTGTCGGCTCACAAGCGTAAAAGCATATTTGATTATAAGAACGATTCAACAAGCTAAGTGTGCATTGTTTTTGTTGTTCTTGTTGGTCATAATAACACAAAAGGTTCACTAAAGGACAATAAAGGGTCAGTTTGTACAATGTGGTTTCAACGTATCAATCAATCAATCTTTATTTATAGGGCGCTTTTCCTGCACAGGGCAACACAAAGCGCCTCACAGTCCACACCACACAATGCACAAATCATCACCATTAAAATACAATTAAAAACACATATGTAATTAAAAAGCATTAAAATCACATAAGTAATTTAAAAACATAAGAATCACACAAGTAATTAAAAACAATAAAATAGTTAAAAACACAAAAAGTTACAACAATAAATAACAAGGTGTGTTAAAAAGATAAAATTCTCTAGTTGTATGCACAGGAAAAAAGAAAAGTCTTTAACATGGATTTGAACATTGACAGAGAGGCAGCCAGTCTCACATCCTCAGGAAGACTGTTCCAGACTTTAGCTGCATAAATCTGAAAAGCAGCCTCCCCCTGTCTAGTCCTGACTCTGGGCACTAACAGGAGTCCCGTCCCTGCGCACCTCAGAGTCCGGGCTGGTTCATATGGGACTAGCATATCATGGATGTACTTTGGTGCAAGGCCATGGAGAGACTTGTACACCAGGAGAGCTGCTTTAAAGTCTATCCTCTGGGCCACGGGAAAGCCAGTGCAGAGACCTGAGGACCGGACTAATGTGGTCGTACTTCCTGGTTCTAGTCAGGACTCGGGCTGCAGCATTTTGAATATACTGCAGCTGTTTTACTGCATGTTTGGAGATACCTGTGAGCAGGCCATTGCAGTAATCCAGCCTACTGGAAACAAAAGAATGGATAAGAATCTCCAAGTCTGCCCTGGACACAATATTTTTAATTTTGGCAATATTTTTCAGATGATAAAAAGCTGCTGATGTTACCGATCCAATGTGGCTATTGAAGTTTAAGTCAGAGTCCATTATTACTCCCAGATTTCTGACCTTATTTAAAGGCCTTAGGGAGAGAGACTGAAGGTGACAAATGACGGTCTCTCTTTGTTTCTCGGGACCAAAGACAATCATTTCGGTTTTGTCCGCATTTAGCTGGAGAAAATTGCATTGCATCCACTCACTGATCCGCTGGATACAGCGAAGGAGTGAGTCCACCGGTCCATGCTCTCCTGCAGTCAGTGAGACATAGATCTGAGTGTCATCAGCGTAATTGTGGTAGGACACTTTCATACTTTGAATTAACTGACCTAATGGCAGCATGTAAATATTGAACAGGAGAGGTCCCAGAATCGACCCCTGTGGCACTCCGCAGGTCAGGGCCATATTATCTGAGACATAGTCTCCAATCTCCACACAATACTTCCTTTCTTCTAGATAGGACCTAAACCAGCTTAGGGCAGTACCAGCAACACCAACCCAGTCCTCCAGTCTCATGAGAATCTCATGGTCAACGGTGTCGAAAGCGGCACTCAGATCTAACATGACTAAAACAGAGACTTTTCCTGCATCAGTGTTAAGCCGAATATCATTTGTTACCTTGACTAGAGCGGTCTCAGTACTGTGGTGTGGTCTAAAGCCAGACTGAAACATGTCAAATGAGTCATTAGATATTAAAAATTCAGTAAGTTGTTGGTAGGCAACTTTTTCAAGAATTTTTCCCATGAATGGCAGATTTGAGATGGGACGGTAATTTTCAAGTACCGCAGCATCCAAACTGCTCTTTTTTAGGAGGGGCCTGATGACTGCCTTTTTCAGGGCCATTGGAAATGTTCCAGATAAAAAAGACATGTTTACTATTTGTGTCAATGAGGGTAATAGACTACACATAACAGACTTCAGAAATCTAGGAGGTAGTACATCCAGACTGCAGGTAGAGGAACTAAGACCTGTGATTATCTTTTTAACAGTTTCATCATTGACAGGTGCAAATTGAGCTAGCTCACAAAGCCTCACTGGATGTTGCATTGTTACTTGTGTTGTAGAGGTGATGGTATTTCTGATACCCTGAACCTTGTCTCTGAAGAACTGTGCAAACTCATTACACCTGGATTTGGGACTTCAGGACAAAGCCATGTTTGTTGAGAGTGAGAAAGATAAGATGATAAATGCTGCTAAATGTAAAATAGACTGGGACAATTCAACAATAGTAGGAACGGGAAAACATAAATACCAGAGATGGATTTGAGAGGCGATTGAAATCAAGAGGCACATAGACCATCAACGGAGACGAGGGGGCCTTCACCCTGACTCACACATGTCTAAGGTATACGCTTACAAAACACAAACCTTTACACATATAGGATAAAAAGAAGTGGTTATTGTGAGATTACAGTTAAGGCAGAAAAAGCTCTGGATAATTTTACATTTTTTTGTGTGACAATTTATTATTATTTTGCTTCAATTGTTTTGTGTTATTTTGGTTTTTCATTTTCACTTATTTTTTTTACTCACAACAGACCAAACCTGAATCTACTCACATTACAGCAAACAAACTCAATTGTGTGATGATGTGAAATTTAGAATTAAGAATATAAAATACGCTTCACGGATCTGTTTCAAAAGATGTAAACTTACTGAAAACTGAAGTAAGTAAGTCATATTTTTTAAACGTCGTCTTATACAGACCAGAGTCACAAAGCAGTTTGTATTTGTGAGATGGGAGCGTGGTCGCCAGACAGGAGGTGCATGCCAGAACTATTGTACGTGTTTTAGTGGTAGGGGAAACCGCAGCACCCGGAGGAAACCTTCGCAGACTAAGGGAGAACATGCAAACTCCACTCAGATAGGCCCTGTACCGACCAGGATTCGAACCCTGGACCTTGAGCAACTAGTGGGCAAGTGTTGACCTGTTTAGTGGACTTTACGTTCACACAAATAATGTATGTTGTAATGTATGTAATATAATAATAATAATAATGCATCGGTTTTATACAGCGCTTTTCTGGACACTCAAAGACGCACATGTCATTATTCTTTCACCCCATACACTGTGGTGAAAAACAACAACTGTAGCCACAGCTGCCCTGGGGCACACTGACAGAAGCGAGGCAACCAGTCTGTGCCATCGGCCCCTCCGACCACCACCAACCATTCATACACACTCCAGACTCATTCTAGGCAATGGGGGTAAAGTGTCTATAATGTAATGTATGGTCATATTGGTCCAGTTAAAATGAACCAAACCAACAAGTGTGAATACGCCCCAAGTTAAGGCTTCTGTGGTGCTATCTTTCTCACGCTGTGGTTAATGTGTGAACCAGTGAACAGAATTGAAGGCCGGGGTCATTGTTTATTGCTAGCAGTCAATTACAGTGGCTCTAATGAGATCAAGCTGATGAGGCCATCGGGAGCAACATGAAGCGTTATCAGAGTCAGATTAATGGACTCTCTCCGCACAGATGAGATTGAGAACCCAGAGGAGAGGTTCAGGCTTCAGCAGGTAACCGGTCTCTATAAGAAAAACATGTGGTCTTGTTCGTTTTGGAGACAGTCGAGAGGTGATAAAATGTTATAGCTGTGATATTATATTAAATGGGTCAAATTATACAGTCCATTTTTCTTCAACTAAGGACTAGTGACAAGTGACTAATGGGCCCCGAGTTATAAGCTAATGTAGCTTCCTGGGAGTTTCCTCTAACAAAGCACTTACGAACCTGAGGAATTTGTAAAATGTGAGGACTTCTCTGAATGTTCTGTAAATAAAGAAAGTTGGATTGAATTGAAAATACCAAGAGAGAATATAGTAATTCTTCGCATCAGCAAAAATGAAGTGCAGAAAATGTACATAACTATATACATTGTATTAAAGCAACATAGACACTGTATCTTTTATCGGTAATTGTAAAGAATTAGTGTAGTATTGGAAAACCGATAAGTTAAAGGTATATAAGTATATTTCCCAAATTTAAATGTAATTAAACCAGAGCAAGATAAGGTTACTTCATTGTCCCTATCAAAATATATCCTTTGCATTTGACCCATCACCTAATGCTGCTGGAGCCATGGATGTTACAATGCACCCCCCACCCCACCTGGGAGCCACCTCAGTCCTCGCTCATACAGTCTGAGTCCTGGAACTACAGCCTGAGTCCTGGAACTACAGCCTCAGTCCTGGATCTACAGCCTCAGTCCTCGCTCTACAACCTGAGTCCTGGAACTACAGCCTGAGTCCTGGATCTACAGCCTCAGTCCTGGATCTACAGCCTGAGTCCTGGATCTACAGCCTGAGTCCTGGATCTACAGCCTGAGTCCTGGATCTACAGCCTGAGTCCTGGATCTACAGCCTGAGTCCTGGATCTACAGCCTGAGTCCTGGATCTACAGCCTCAGTCCTGGATCTACAGCCTCAGTCCTGGATCTACAGCCTGAGTCCTGGATCTACAGCCTCAGTCCTCGCTCTACAACCTGAGTCCTGGATCTACATCTCCTATGTGTTTGTGATTATTGTATTTCTGTGTTGAGCACTTAGAGGGGACCCATCCAAATGAGTAGAAACAAGCCAACTCCACAAAGAGTGACCCGCTGAATAGATTCCACTCCTTTCTAACTGTGAGGCATGAGCGCTCTCCACTCAGCCCCCGTGCTAAAGCAGATTCCTTTTACATTTTCCTGAATCCTAACGAGGACCCTTGGATCATAGAATTCCTGACCTCGGAATCATGGCACTGTAAACACACGTGTGAGGTCTAATTAAGGCGTTGACCTCTTCATCACTGATCTGTGCTGAAGGAAGAGCCGAAAATCCCAGCGTGCCCAGTTCACTCACCTCTGCTCCCAACCCCTGGCCCTTGTTCCATTACATTTGATTTGGAAAGCCGTTCACGCTCCAGCACTTGCTATTCTCTCAGGGGATTATCGACATGGAGCCTGTGTTTGTTCTGATCCAGCTCTTTGAGATTCCACAGCCATCGCCGATCATGTAATTATAATTCACATGTGTGTGCGGAGACTGCAATATACATCTAATATCAACTGCATGGAGCGGCATAGTACGAGCAACTTCAATGTGTTTTGACGTATTATTATAAGGAGATTATTCTGTCAGAGATAGTGAGGCTAATATGAAATCTGGAATACTGAACAAAAAATGAATTTAAGATTACGAGTGACACCATACGCTGAGATTATGATTTTCTATCTATTCTTTATTTTAAGTATTTATTCTGTTAACAGGAACACTGATTAATAAAATTATTGTGAAGACAGACAAAGCTTATTTGCATCCGTAGTTTCTGGGGCAGACCTTGTCACAACAGGTTTATAGTTTACAAAGAATTAATCACAAAGAATTAAGAAGGAAAATGGTCTCATTAGCATTTAAAATAAAGGTAAAATACAACACACTTAACGACAAAGAGACACAATACTTACAATATATACAACACAAGTTGTTACAATCACACTTTCGTTGCCAGAATCTTCTGCTTGTGACATATGCAGCTCCTGGAGCACTTATTACTGATGCAATCCACCTCCTGGGGTTCAGACAAACATAGTACAAACTCTGTATGTTACATATTGTACTTATTTTGTATCAGCTTTCATCTAAACAAATGTGTGTTGCCAAAGAATAACTGTATTGTTGCACTTTACGTTTCCTTTTGTGTGAATTAATAGTTACCTAATGTAACTTAAGTTCTACGAATAGGTGCGTAGTCCCTTAGGACTTCGCTAGTGGGATATCACGTGACCCCCAGGTCACACGCCAGAGAGATCAAATATATAAAATATGCTCCAATCACTAGCGACCCTCCTCTATAAAAGCCCCTGCACAAGGCCGCGCCCCCTCTTGAACTCTGCCAAGCCGGGCTGGCCTGATGGGCTCGTAGCTAAGGGACTACGCGTAGAACTTAAGTTACATTAGGTAACTATTATTTCTACGTCATGGTGCTACGTCCCTTAGGACTTCGCTAGTGGGACACAACGCGGAGGCCGTAGGAACATGTACTCCCAGCAGGCCAGCGAAGAGTGATTGGAGCCCCGCCCGAGCAAGACCCTCACACAGTGAGAGGACTCAGGGCAGAAGAATAATCAATTGCGTGTTACAGGGCCGCTCCTCCCAAGGACAGTATTTCAATCTGGAGAGACGAGGAGACAAATTACAATTGAAGTATTTTATTGAAGGTAGTTTAGCGCCCTAGGCCCCGGTGCGGCGTTCAGTCAGCGAGGCTCTTGCGAGAGTGCGCGCACAATCCCCCGGGACCTAGGCACTGGTGGCGGCATTCGGGCAGCAGGAAGAGGCATGATTGAGGCAGGGTGAGAAAAGGAGGAGGAGGGGAGGCGGTGGTTTGCAAGGCTTCAAGAAGGCCGTAAAGTGGGAGTTTCTCCGCTTTTAAGCGGCTGGCCTGGCCGGCGTAGGTTGGTTGGAAATGGGCGTTTGCTGTGCGATAGGCTGGGGCTGCGAGGCCGGCCTGGAAGGGGTGGCTTTGCTGACGTCTTCCAAATTGAATTTCCGCGAGGCTGCATTTGTGAACCATTCCATTGTAGATTTGGCTTTATTTTTTGGATCATTGTCCTGTTGGAAGATAAATCTCCGTCCCAGTCTCCGGTCTTTTGCAGACTCCAACAGGTTTTCTTCCAGAATGGTCCTGTATTTGGCTCCATCCATCTTCCCATCAATTTTAGCCATCTTCCCTGTCCCTGCTGAAGAAAAGCAGGCCCAAACCATGATGCTGCCACCACCATGTTTGACAGTGGGGATGGTGTGTTCAGGGTGATGAGCTGTGTTGCTTTTACGTCATGAATCAACAACAAAGATATCCATAAAAAGTCTTGTTTAAAGTTTACCACAAGCCTCCTGGGAGACACACCAAACATGTGGAAGAAGGTGCTCTGGTCAGATGAAACCAAAATCGAACTTTTTGGCCACAATGCAAAACGATAGGTTTGGCGTAAAAGCAACACAGCTCATCACCCTGAACACACCATCCCCACTGTCAAACATGGTGGTGGCAGCATCATGGTTTGGGCCTGCTTTTCTTCAGCAGGGACAGGGAAGATGGCTAAAATTGATGGGAAGATGGATGGAGCCAAATACAGGACCATTCTGGAAGCCAAATCTACAATGGAATGGTTCACAAATAGACGTATCCAGGTGTCAGAATGGCCAAGTCAAAGTCCAGACCTGAATCCAATTGAGAATCTGTGGAAAGAGCTGAAGAGTGCTGTTCACAAACGCTCTCCATCCAACCTCACTGAGCTCGAGCTGTTTTGCAAGGAAGAATGGGCAAGAATTCCAGTCTCTCGATGTGCAAAACTGATAGAGAAATACCCCAAGCGACTTGCAGCTGTAATTGCAGCAAAAGGTGGCGCTACAAAGTATTAGCGCAAGGGGGCCGAATAATATTGCACGCCCCAAAACTAGGTAGCTCCGTGGGATGAGAGCGTAGGGGAAATGAGAAGCCTGTGAGCGAGTTGGGGGGCGGTGCTAAACATTCAAACATTGCAGAAACGGGTATACCGCCTTTAATACAGTCTAAAAGACATGCTTCTGCAAAAAAAACGTCTTACTGATTGGAAGAAGGAGCTGATGCGGCTCTTCTTCTGGGGTATCTCCAGATTATAGCGGATTGTGTCTATGATGGTGTCGATGTAGTTCTCATCGATCAGGCAGTTGAATGAAACCCAGTGTTTTTTGGACCCCGAGCACAGGTCTTTGTACACATCCTCCGCCACATCCAGGATGTTCTCAGCATCAGGCCTCACCTTCACGTTCCATTGTGTCAAATTTTCCTCCAGCCGCTGCCACAACTTTACAAATGGGGCCACATTGGTCAGACTTTTTGTCTGGAGGGCGTGCCTTGTTACTTCATAAGCCAAGAATCTGATGTGATATGTGTCCCACTCGAAATGAACATCTGCTGCAGTTGTTGGTTGGGGAGGGGTATAGCGTGTGCCTGTATAGTGGGTCTGGGGGTCCATGGACATACAGAGGACGGCATTTCGCAGTTTTTGATAAGTATTTCTGACTTTACCCGTCTTTGGTTCCTGATCCCTCTGTTTATCAACCCACTCCTTTACGGACTTCAGGAATTCGAGCACTGATCTTGTGACCTTTCTGCCAAATTTCCAGGCTCCAATAGAGTTTCTGGGGCTCATATTCTGCACAATGACCTGTTGAAGTGCCTCATTCACATCCTTGTGTTGTCCATTGGAGATGTCCTGGGACAATTTCTCATAGAAACTGGCCTCTTGGATGTCATCAGGCAAGGACATCAACTTCTCCAAATGACAGGCTGCCTCTTCCTCCATTGTTTCTATATCAGTGCTTACTTTACGCTTACGTGATAATTTTATCAGTAATTTTCTGAAAGAGAGTTTTGCATGACACAGGGCCAGAAAAGATTCAACCCTATGAACTACTCTGAAATAGCAGCAGGTTATACTGACCTCATCAGAGTCCAGAGAGTTTCTGTATCGGATTTCATCCATCTCGTCCAACATCATGGAGTAGATAGACACTCCATCCGCTTCACTCTTATCACTCAGTCTGCTTACAAGAACCTCAGCCTCATCTTTGTTCAGGCTGGAAGATCGGGCAGCTGTTACTGCTGCTTCATCCAGGAGCTCTTTCATCTGTAAATGAAAATAAATAAATGACTCAAATGCAGATGCAATGCTGGCCTGAGAAGCTGTTCTTGAAACTGGAGGGAGTAGAGATTGAGTGGCTACATTGGAATCCTCCTCAGATGAACTCTGACTGCTCTCCTCCGAGTACGCTTGACATGAGCACCAGGTGTTTACAGAGCTTTGAGTCACTCTCTTCCTTTTTTCTTGTTGTGCAGCAGCCTTCATTGATTTTTGCTGCTTGTTTTCAGACAAGATCTCGTTGGTAATATTTTCCTTGTCACCAAAAGACTCTGAAGGAGAAACATAGCTCTTTTTAGGGGAGGAGTGCGTATGTTCTTCCTTTGATTGCACAAGGCAAGGGCGAAGGGAAAGGGGCTTGCTCTGGGTCTGCTCTGGGACTCGCTCCTCCATCTGACCCAACCCCTTAGGTACAGTTTTCTGGACTAAAGGTGCAACCTCTTCACTCAGAGGCATTGAACAAGCTCCTGGAAGATTTGGCCAAATAATCTCAGAAGTAAATGTACCACTAGAGCTGTGAGTGGTCTGTTTGGTTGTCTCCTGCTCAGTTTCTGTAGGGAGACTCTCCACTTGTGTTTCTTGTGTCTCATTGGTTGCAGAGTCGGATCTGGGTTTGATCTCTGGAACAAAACTCGAAATCCCAGAGGCACCGTTCTGAGACAGGTTTGCAGTCTCCACAGATTCGGCCACTCCCAGCCCGTTCCGTCTGAGTTCATTTCTGACTTTGAGACGTTTGGCCCTCTCTTGTAGCTCTTTGTCCACCGGCTTCTCCTCACCTGAGATCTTTGTCCTGCATGGCCAACAGCATTGCATGAACTTCTGGGCATTGGAGACGATGCTGAGGAGCTTGTATCTGGATGGGGTGTAGCCTTGTTCTTTGTCTACTGTCAGTTTGCTTCCAGGAGATCCCACACGACTCAGAACCGAGTTGACAGTGTCAGTCACCTCAGCACTTATCTGCTCATGGGCCTTCTCAAGTGCATAATACTCATCAGCAGAACTGGTCTTGAAGCTGGTTCGGAGGACAGCGCTCAGGGCGTCTTTCACGGCATCTTCCGAGAGCAAAGCATCACTTGACGAAAGCTGTTCCCGGGCGATGATTTTCCCCACACCACTGAGGATTTTATCAGAGAAGTTCATGATAATATCCATGAACAGCTGTGACATGTGTGTGCAAACCTCGTGCTCGCTGAAGCCTGCGGTCTGCACAGTCCTCCAGAAGTTGATCAGAGGTTGGATCTGGTCCACGTTGATGGTGGGTATGGCGTTGTCCAGGGGTGAGCTGGGACGCTTACTCATCAGTCGGAATGATTGCATGAACTCTACTTCTCTGATCGGTTGCATTAGCTCATCCGTTCTGCTATGAAACCTTAAGTCTTCCATTCTGGGCGGTGGCGTCGGGTCAAAGCCTCTTTCTTCGTTCAGCTCCTCCAGGGTCAGCCGACTGATGCGTCCGGTCATGCTTCTCGGGAATTCTCTGGACTCCTCTGGCAACATCCTGCATTCATTCTCTTCAGGCATCGTTCTGTTGAAGTGGCTTCATAACTTCCTTGTGAGTTATAAACGTGGATTCTAATCTGCTGTGACGCTGTGGGCGGCGGCTTCAGATGTGGGTTTTGGCAAAAGTGGACTTCCTGGACTGACCTAGCCTCCACCACAATATAATTATGTGGATTCTAACTGATGACATCACAAAGCTGTTATGACATGGTAATCGGTATCCATGGTAACCGGCATCCATGGTAACAGGTCTCTATGGTAACGGGTCTCCACGGAAACTGGTACAATGGAACACTGGGCAGTCTGGAGCCAGCAATAAGGAAAAACAATGAGAAAAGAAATGATTTCTTTTCCTGGAGAATTTAAACATCACAGTGCATTGTTTAAAGATGCAGTCAGTGATTGTTTCCAGATGCATTTTTTTAAATATTGTGGGAAAACGTCTCTAAACCCTAAAGTTGTCAAGTGATCATGTGTTTTCAAATAGTAATTGAATTGACTAGATGCCTATAGGCTCCAAAAAAAATCATAAATAATATTTTGGAGTGGACCGATAAAAATAAACCAATGGGATGCGTTTACCGCCTCCAACCTCTTCCTGTTTCTCGCAATCGCACCGGAGTTATCGGATTTTCTAAAACCTAAAAGGGCTGAACAGAAAATGCCAATTTCACGTTTGCTCCACTTTCCCTGTTGCGACAAAGAAAAGAAAATGCTGGATGTTTGGTTTGGTGGAGAGGGAGGGGAGGGGGGAGTGGTTTCCAGTTGGTGCTACGGCTAAGCTAACAACATCGCTAACTGCACCTTTAATACAAATGTCTGCAATAACGTCCTTGTAACTAGTTCTTTACCCTCAAACCTATTTAATTCCATCACTAGTTTTCACATGCACGCAGTTTCAGCCTCGGTCACATCTGCAGATCAACTTAAGTGAAAGGAGAGAACCAGCTCTCAGTATCTAGAATATATAATTGTATGTTTTGTGACAGGGCTCAGTTGGTAGAGCATTGGCCTCAGAGCCTGAAGGTCGTGGGTTCGAGCATCACGAGACCTTCTCCACCAACTCCCACTGATGTCTGCTGTCGGTGTGTCCTTGGGCAGGATCAGGGGCTGGTGCTCTGTGAATTGGGTGTTCTGAGTCTGGACACCAGCAGGAGGCCGGTCCCTGTGCTCCTCAGAGTCCAAGTTGGTTCATATGGCACCTACTTTTTGAATGTACTGCAGATACACTATGGGGGATCAATAATGCAAACATCTATCGTTTGTAAAGCAGTGTGTTATTGCACTTTGTCCCTGTACATTAAAAGTACACTCCCATCTAGCATCGAGATCATATATTGTAATTTCCTGTACTACGGTAGTTTCGCAAAACGGTATGTGGTCTTTGACAGAGGTCCCCAACTCCCGCTCAAACTCCTTTTTGTCCCCTATCAACCACTGTATTTCAAGATGGCGCATTGACACAGAGAGTCCTCCAGCCTCATGGACATTTATGAGTAAAATTCTCAGCCTATGACAACAACTCAAAAACATGTTGGAGGTAAATATTCCTAAAAACGTCACACATGTTTTTGGTAAACATGTTTTTTCGTTTGGAGTACCTTTAATAACAAAACAAAAATGAAACTACTTCATGAAACTGGTTCTCCAGCTTCAATTAGACACAAAACAAGATGTCCGTGGATTAATAACAGTCAAAAACATAATGTGCGAGTCATGTTACTGGAAAAACCCAAAGGCAAAAGTAAATCAACCTAAAAATGCATAATACAGTATCTTATTATTCAACGCACACAGACGAACACCGTGAGCCCCTTGTAAGCACCACTGGAACACATTCTTGGGTAAGTTGGGTGCTTTAGTGATGGATCCCACTTGGAGACGGTCCACGTGTCTGGTGGAGCAGATGCGCAGCAGCCTGAGCCCCGGAGCCGCTCTGTGATAAGAAGGGTGCGGGCGTGTGGTGCTGTTTATGGCATAACACTCATGTACTTATATGTGACCCTGCGGCAGACGAGCAGATGCTACATTCTGCTCTCCGCTGCCAGGATCACAACACTCGTGAATATGGAAATAAAGGCCCGTACATGCCTGCTACTACAAGGAGGCCCACATCACCGTCGTATGTGGTGGTGGTGGGTGGAGGAAGAACAGAAGAAGATATATAAGCAGCGTATCTCGTAAGCTTTAAATTGCACTGAAAGAGACACGGTGGAATTAGCAGCAGAGTGAGGCAAAACTCTTCCTCAAGTTTCAAGTTATTTTATATATGATATGCAGTGTGAGCTTTCAGCATATGTACATTTATCCTGTGTGAGATCAATAAACTCTATCCTATATTATACCATAGTTACACAACATCTCAACATGTCTGTTAGCAAGAATGTCCCGGTCGAATCCCGGTCCGAAAAGGGTCATTCTGAGTGGAGTTTGCAGGTCTAGGTAGATTTCCTCCAGGTCCTCCGGTTTTCCCCTATCACTAAAAACATGTAAAAAAGGTCTGGCATGCGTCTCCTGTATAGCGAGTACGGGACAAATGCCCACAAGAAATGTTAATGGTTTTGTGACATACTGTACGTGCAGCTAACGAGGTAATGCATAAGAAATTTAGATTGATGAAATACTTGTGAGCTGTTGGTAGGTTGTGCCAATATCAAGTTAATTTATAGCAAACATTTACCACATGATTGGCCCATAAGGAATTATCCCTCTTGCCGCAGGAAAATGTGAAAAAATGCATTTGCGCATGTGTTAGCCGGTACGAGCCCCATTCACTACCGACTAAACTAGACTGTTCCCAAAAAAAACAAATCCTCCCCTCAGCATTGACAGCATCCAAGAGCCAATTTTGGATCATCCTGTAAAGGCGTTTTCAAGAGGAGAGAAGATGCCATACAAAAGCATTGGGTAATTCTGTTTCCGGGTACACCCCCACCGGCAAGGAGTGAGATTGCACCATGTCAGTGCACGTGCTCATGGACCTTTTTGAAGCGGGACCTGCCCCCACTGGAAGACACATGGGTAAACAAATTACAAATGAGAGCTTGGCGTCTTGGATGAGTGTGTTTTGTTATTGGTATTTTTATGAATATGTATTAATATGCAAAAATAATCTACCCATGGATACAAATAACATTACCTTGAACCTATATCGTGGTCAAAATACTCTCACACTGATAACTTTTAGAAAATAGCCCTTTGAGCCGTATGTTTGGAATGAAAAGTGCTTCTTAGGGTGTATTCAGACCTGCACATTTGCTCCACTTTAAACGGACCAGGTCTGAATACACACAAACGAATCCTGGTCCGGACCAAAGAACCGAACCGAGACCCACTTTTTGAGGTGGTCTCGGCCCGTTTCCAAACGAATTCTGGTCCAAGTCGAATCAGGTCTGAATACATCCGGTGTCGATCCGACACAACTCCAAGATACGTGCGCATTTTTGGGCTTAACAAGCAGCAGACAGAAACTGAGGAATTAGCCACGCGTCTCAGCGGCTAACTATGCTGCTAACTATGCTGCTAACGCTACACAACAACAATGAGCCGTGTGCAGACCTGGAGCAGTGAGGAGACTCTGTGCAACAGGCTTATGGAGTTAAAACTGTTCACAGTATACATTGATGTTAATGGCAGCATCTTCAAACCATTTGCATTATTAAAAGCCTGACACTGTTTGACTCACGTCTCAAAGAGCAATATTCCGCATCATGTAGTGAATTGTGTTCTTTGGTTCCTACCTGATCCTCAGCGTCTGTTTGTCCCGTGGTTATTATAGATCCATGGTTTATCCACAATGCTGAACAGGGCCGTTATTATCATAGATCCATGTGTGGGACAGGGCACGGAGCGCACAGACAGAGTCTCCTTCGGCTTTCTCCTCACGCATTCTCCGACGCTGTTCCAATATTTAAAACAACGTGTTTGGCCTGCGTCATATGAGCTGCTGCTGTTGATGTTGAAGGTGGTTTTGCTCTAAAAAGAGCAAACATAGGCAGAGCAGACATGCTGCACATACGAGCCCTCAATGTTTTCTGCCGGTTCCGCGTCTATCCTCCCTGAGCTCTCGCTGTCCAATAGGAGCCGATCGTCACACGTGTCAATATGTTTATATAAAAAAGTTCACTTGCAAAAAGGACAGTCTGAATACGAACCGGAGCAAAAGAAAAAAGTTTGGTCCGCTTTTGATTCGGATCAAGCAAGCGGAGCAAAGGAATTTTCAGGTCTGAATACACCAACAGTTTGGTTGGATTTGATTAAGGGACCCTGCTGTGGTAATCAACCTCTTTAACCATTCCTACAGCTTCAGTAAGTGGTGCTTGATGTGGTCCTTAGCTGTTCTGATTGACTGCTATACAGATGATTGCAAATGTGATTTATGACGTTTGCAACAGTTCTAGTAAGAGTTTATGGGAAGAGAACTGTCATGTGATGAAATGAAAAGTAAACCCAAAATGCAGGACTGAAAATAATATGTGTAATTTAATCAAATACATCCAAGGTAACAAGAATGCAGAAGTGAAAACAAGACAAACGTGGTAGGGACATACAAAGAGATGGGCCATAAATTGCTTGCCAACTGGAGAAGAAGAAGAAGAAATTTAAAACGTTATGCAAAAGAAAACAATAAAAACAAGGTGCAAATAAAATAAAATCAAGAAACAAAATAAACAAAAATAAACAGTTTGAAAAAAAAGCTGGACGAAGCAGACCCTTATTTGGCTCTAACCCAAGCCCCGGCGATCCAAGATGGCGCCGTATTCAAATGAATGGATTGTGCTCAGTGGCGCATGTGCCGGCACGGTCGCCTATATTTGGGCATTGTCTGGTTCTCCCGGTTCTGCGCAGTGGACGAGCTCCCATGATGCGTTGCGCCAAATTAGAGTTTCGCTTTTCAGCCCGAGCCCGACCCGAGTTCGGGCCGGGCTCGGGCCTCACTTCAGCGCTCAGCAGTCGGGCCGTTCCGGGCTCGGGCTCCTTTTTATTTGTACTTTTTTCATTTTTTTTAATCAACATTATTT